TGTCGGTCCGCAGGTTTCATATCAAGTAGATGCAGCATCTTATACCAGCAAATCTGCTCGTAAGAAAGCTTTTGTGTTACGACGCCCAACCAGGCATGTTGGGGGGTTCCTTAGCCACCATCCCCATCTCACGAATTAGAGGTGACCCATCTTTATTGAGGAACAAAATCCCAAATCCCACGTTCTCAGAAGCGGTTCTTAAGCGGGACATGATTGGGACCCAATTGGTAAGATAACCCCATGGTGGAAATCCATTGCGCAACCCAATCACACCTCCTGGAGGGGGATACTAAACGTTTGCGGAGGAGGCCAAAAGCCTCCGCGGGAAGGAAGGGGCCGGCCACCCAATATGCAAGTGGTTTGCGTTAGCGGCTGGGTTTAGAAATTTGTGCTTCATAGGCAGATTCCTCCCGTTTCCAACTGCAGGCCCTTGGAAGTTTGAGACTCCGTGTTTTGGGACACGTAATTTGGGATTGTACAAGCGTGTTACTTTGAATCAGCAGGACAGAAGGAAAGGGAATTGGGCGATGGCCCACTTTGCAAGAAGCTCGGAGTTGTTTTTCCACTCAAGCGCTGTAAGCACTAAGTTTGGTGAGTTTCAGTAACCCCAGGCCGCCCGTGGCGCAAGACCTCTGCGATTCCCACCCTCCCCTCGTGGTCCCAAACAAACACAGCAACCGCAAGCGGTTAAACTGGACCCGGGATACACTGGTGTGTTTTGGCAAGTGCAATTGTGTTTCCAGCCCCATGCGTTTTAACAAGGTTATCCCTGTCCCTGGGGGCCCGCCCCATCACGGAACTCCCTCCATCTACTCCCAGCCCAAACTTAAACCTGGCCATAACATCAAGCAAGAAACCACAGATTCAAAACCCCCATAATTATCATCACCAGCACAACCCAGATCCCCTCTGAGAGCAGCTTTCAGTAACTTTTTGGTTGTCGTGATGTTTAGTGAAGGATTGCTTGCCTGCTTTCTCTACAACCCACCTGTCCACCTTCCTTCTTCCCCACCTCCTCCTCCCCAGTTCCTTCCTCCTAAATCAGCCCCCAGTAAACTGGGATTTAGCTTGCTCTTTCCCTTGTTTAAACTTTGAAACGCCTCGTTCAACTGTACGATCAAGATGTAATTGCCCCAGTGTTAGGGATATGTTTTGGGATAGGGCGGTCCAATGTTTGCGCTAGACGGGAGGTAGAGGCGTTTTTAGGGTCCCCTACTCTCCCCTTTAAACTATCACTTCCCGGCTAACTTTGAGGTTCCCCCCCTGGTGTCGAACCCAGGTAAGCCCCCAGATTACCACCTCCGTAACACACTCTCACTCTTTACCAGGCTGTTATCCAACACTAGTGTGGCTTGCTGGCGCTGCTTCACAACACGTAACAACGGAGAGTCCGGGTGTGTGCGCGGCCGATTCCATTGACAGGGCGGGGTTTACCCCGCGGGCGAACTTCTCACCAAGTGCCAAACGCGATGAGCGTGGCTTTGCAATTTTCTTGTCCATGTTTTAGTACATTCCTCCAGGAGTAAGTTTTCCAGTCCAGGCTGATTTCATCCAGGCGCTGGGTAGCCAAACCTTCTTGAGGACCTTTATCGCTTCAGCAACTGCATGGTAAGGGAGATGGTGGGAACCCGGTTTGATGTAGGTTTTTTTATCAAGTCCAACTGCTGCTTCACGCCCCACGCCCCATACCTTTCCTTTGGAATATAAAATCACGGTCCAGCCTCCCCAAACAAATATTAAATATAATAATTTCCTTTCCCATTCTTTGATTTTTATTTTCAGTTTTTTACTAAATTGAATTTTTTTTAAAATTAAACCATTTTTGCGTGTAATACATTTTTAACCAATAATTAGAAAATTTTTGTGGACCAAAGCATTTTTTTGTTTTTCTGGAAAAAAAATATAGCTAATAGTGGGAAATTTCCATTTTAAAGGTAAACAATTTTCGTTGAAAAAGCAATTACAAAATACAATTATATTATTGTTTTTCCCAAAACCCCTTGAACAATAAAACCATTTTTCATCGAAATATTCAAATAAGTTTTTCCCTTTAAAATATCAATTTCCATTAAAATTTTTCCCATAAAAACTTTTTAATAAAATTTTTTTGCCATTGTGGGGGAACAAACTTTTCATTGCAAGTCGTAGGGCTAAACAAGGGGAAACAAAACACAAGGCTGATATTTTTTAAAAAACGTAAAAAAGAATTCCTTCATTTTTTTTCCACTGGGAGGTAACCCTTTTAACTGGCCCAAAAAGAATGTTAGGGGGATAATTTAAAAACCTTATCAACCCTTTTTTGGGTGAGATTAAAAAAAGCTAAAAAAGATTAAAAAAACAAAAATCCTAAAAAAACGGGTTTTGGAACCACGTCATCAATAAAAAACTTAGTTTTGCATAACCTATCAAAAAAAATACAATGAAAAATTCCCATAAAATGTGAAGTTAATGGAGGAAAAAAGGGCAATAACCCGGATATGCCCAATATCAACAGGAAAATAATTAATCCCAACTAACCTTTACGGTCCCCATAAGGAATTGAAGCATTACAATACGATGCAATCGTAAAATCCCGATGTATGTTTAAAGAAAAAAACCGTTCTTAAATTTAGAAAAAATCTTAACTTTAGAAAGTAATAACAAGATATTATCTAAGAATAAGAAAGACAGCTTCTGGTACCCATATCCCCAATAAACCCCGGTTTTTGCTTTCCCTCATCCGGGTTTTTTTAACACTCCATAAACTTTTCCGTCCTCAATCCCAAAAAGGATCAGGGTCGGATTTCCGGCCTGGTTTTTTAAACCTCCGGCCAGGAATCTTTTTCTAGCGGGAAACCTGCAGGGATTCTCCAGAAAAAGAACTCATTTGACCATAGCTTTTTTTAACCTCCCCTCCTCAAAACCCCTCGTTCGTGGCAGGCTTTAACCCCCTCTTCCAAAAAGTTTCAATGTGCATGTACTGGGGGGAAAACAATTTTTTGTTTTTAAACATTTTGTGAAAAAAATAATAATAATAAAATTGATGGGTTCTTAAACTCTGATATTAAAGTGACCCCTTAAAGTCCTTTAAAATACTCCACTAAGTATGGCAAATGAACTATATTTGGCCCCCAAATACTAAAGATTTCAAATAAAAAAGGGAAAGACCCTAAACCAAACCAAAACAAAACTACCATTTTTTAAACTCTAAAAAACTGCCACTATGACAAACTCTAAATCAGTAAAAAATTACCCATTAAAGGGGGGGGGGGGTGGGCATGTCCCCCCCCTTCCAATGTCTTCCCAAATGTCCCCCTTTTTTCCCCCCTTTTTTTTTGAAAAAAAAGGGTGCAAGGACATGTTCCCCCCGGGGAAACCCAAAATTGGGGAACCCCTTGGAAAACAAAAGCTTTTTTTTTAAACATTGGAAAAACCAAAGGGAACCCTTGGAGACAAAACCCCCTTTTTTTTTGGGGACATTTGGGGGACATTGGGAACACTGGGGGACGTGAAATGTAAAAAAATTGGGGGAAAAGGAGGAACCCCAGGAGGAAGGATGAACCCCCCGGGGGAGGAAACCCGGAAGGAGAAAAAGGAGGAGGATGAGGGCCCCCCAGGAGGAGGACCCAGGGAAAAAAGGGACTGGAAAGGAGGAAATAGAAAAGAGGAGGACTGGAGGAAATAAAAATAAGGAAAGGAAAGGCTTTTAGGAGGAATGGCTTAAGGAGGAAGGCTTTTGGGGGGGGAATTTGGCCCCCGGAAGGAAAAGAACTGGGGGGGGAAAACCTAGGAGGAGGAGGAAACCCCCCCGGGGGGGGGAGGAAACCCGGAAAGGAGGTCCAGGAGGAAGGAAAGGGGGGGGAACCCCCCGGAAGGGGGGGAAAACCCGGGAAAGGGACTGAGGAGGACAGAGGAAAAGAGGAAAAGGAAACTGGGATACTGAGGAAGGAAGCCCTGAGGAGGGGGACCCCGAGGAGGAAATACTGAAAAAGGGAGGAGGGAAGAAGGAAATGGGGGGGGGAAGGGGAAAGGGGAAAAAGGGGGGAACCCTAGGGGGATGAGGACCCCCGAGGAAAAGGAAACCCCCCCGGAGGAAAAAAGGGAAGGAGGAAGGGCCCCAGGAGGAACGAAAAAGGGGGAAAAGGAAAAGAGGAGAACTGGGGGAAGGAGGAAAAGGGGAGGAAACTGGAAATAGGGGAAAGGAGGGGGGGAAAAAAAAATGGAGGAGGAACTGGGAGAAAAAAAAGACTGAACGAAAGGATGGAGGAGGAGGGCGAGGAGGAAAGGAAACCCCGAAGGAAAGATAAAAAAGGAGGAAGACCCCCCGGATGGGGAAGGAACGAGGGGGAAGAAAGGGGGCCCCGAGGGGAAGGGACCGAGGGGGGATGGGCTTGGGGGAAAAATGGCTGAGAAAGGGAAACTGAGAGGGGGGAGGAGGAGGGAGGGAAGGAGGGAAAAGGAAAGGGGAGGAAAAGGAAAAAGGGGGGAAAAGGGAAAAAAAGGAGGAGTAGGGAAAAAAGGGAAAGGAAGGGAAACCTAGGGAAGGAAGGAAAGGAAAAGAAAAGGGAGGACTCAGGGGAAGGAGGAGGGGGGAAAAACCCCAAGAGGGGCTGAGGAGGACTGGGGAAGGGGAGGGAAACTGGGGATAAATGGGGGGGGAAAGGATGAAGGAGAGAAAATGAGAGGAAGAAAAGGAAAAAAAGTGGAGGGACAGGAGGAGGGAAAAGACCCCCCCGGAAAGGGGACTCAGGAGGGAAACTTTATGAGAAGGGAAAAAAAGGAGGAAAGGGGCGAGGAGGAGGAAAAGGAGGGAAACTGAATAGGAGGAGGAAAAAGGGGGAAAATGGGGGGGGGACCTGAAAGGAAGGGGGAAAAGGGAAAAACCCCGAAAAAAGGGAAGGGGGAGGGGCTGAGGAAAAAGAGGAAAAAAAGAAGGAGGAAGGAAAAAAAAAAGGAGGGGAAAAGGAAAACCCAGGAGGGGAAAGGGGCTGAAAGAAAGGAAGGGGTGAAAGGGAAAAAAGGAAAATGGGAGGGGGGAGGGGGCGAGGGGGAAAGGGGGGGTGGGGGGGAGGAAAGGAGAAAGGACGAGGAGGAGAAAAGGGGGAGGAAAACCCAAGGAAAAGGGGGGGACCCCCGGGGGGGAGGACCTCCCGGAAAGGGGGGGGGGGGGGGGAGGACTCAGGGAGGGGAGGACCCCAGAGAAACTGGGAGGAGGAAGGAGAAAGGGTGAAAAAGGAAGGGAGGAGGGGGGGAAAAAAAGGAGAAAAAAGGACTGAGGGGGGGGGAGGACCTGAGGGGAAAAACGAGGGGGTACTGAAAAGGGAAAATGGTGGGAAGAAAAAAAGGGGGGGGAGGGATGGGTTTGAGGAGGATGGCTGAAAAGGAAAAAAATGGCCCCGGAGGAATTACTGAAAAAGGGACGAAAAGGGGAAAAAGAAGGGGGAGGAAAAAAGGACTGAGGGAGGAGGAAAGGGGAGGAAAACCCCGGAGGGGGGACCCCCCCCCGGGGGGGGAAAGGGACGGGGGGGGAAGGAAGGAGGGGAGGAAAAAAAGGGGGGAAGGGGGAAAAAAGGGGGGAAAAAAGGAGGAGGGGGGAAACCTGGAGGAAAAGGAAAAAAGGGAAAAAGGGAAAAACCCCAAAAAAAGGAGGAGGAAAAAAAACCAGGGGGAGGAAGGAAGGACCCCCAAAAGGGGGGAAACTCAGGGGGGAGGAAAAAGGAAAGGGGGGGAAATTAGAAAAAGGAACGAAGGAAGGACTGAAAAGGGAGGGGCCGAGGAAATACTGGGAGGGGTGACCCGAGGAATGGGAGGGGGGGGAAAAGGAAAGAAAAACTGAGGAAAGGGAAAAAAGGAGAAGGTGGGGGAAAAAAAGGAAAAAAATGACCCCGGAGGAGGACCCCAGGAGGGAAAAATTGGAGGAAATGAAAAAGGAGGGGGGACTGAGGAGGAGGGGAAAAAAAGGGGAATGAAAAAAGGAGGAAGGAAAAAAGGGGGGGAAATTTGGGGGGGGGGAAAAATGAGGGGGAAGGAAAAGGAAACTGACGAGGAAGGATTTGGGAAGGAGGACCCGAGGACTGAGGAGAAAGAAAGGGGAGGAAAGAAGAGGAGGGAAAAAGGCCCCCCTGAGGAGGAGGCTGAAAGAGGAGATGAATGAAGGGGAAAAAAGGAGGAGGAGGAAAACTGGGAGGAAAATGGGTGAGAGGGGGAGGAAGAAGGGGCTAAGGAGGAAAACACTCCCCGGAAAGGAAAACCCCCAGGAGGAGGGGGGGGACCCCAAGAAAAGGAGGAACTCCAGGGGAACTCCCCCGGAGAAAATGAAAGGAAAGGGGAGGAAAAAGGGTGTAGGTAGGAGGAGGGGGGACTAAGGGAAAGGATGGGGAAAAATGAAGGGAGGAGGAACTGAGGAGTAAAATGAGGAGTAAAAGGGAGGAAAAGGCTGAGGGGATGGCTGGGAGGAGGTTTTGGGGGAGGATGGCTGGAGGAGAAAAGACCCGAGGAGGAATACTGAGGAGGTGAACTTGGAGAAGGAAAAAGGGGGGAAAGGAGGGGAAAAGGGAAAAAAAAAACGGAAGGGGGAAGGGGGAAGGATACCCAGGGGAAGGGAAACCCAGGAAAAGGAAGGACTCAGGAACGAGGGGGAGAACGACTGAAAAAGGAAAAGGAGAACAAAATGAGGAGGAGAAAAAGACTGAGGAGGAACCCCGGGGGGGGAAAGGGAAGGAAAGGAAAGGGGGAGGAAAAAGGGGGGGGGGAATCCCCCCCCCCAAAAAGCTGTTTCCCATCCTTTTCCCCCCCCCCCCCCCAAAATGCCCCCCCAAAAATCCATTTTTAAAAGTCCCCCAAAATTTTTCCCCCCCCCCAAAGGCCCCCCCAATGTCCCCCCAAAAAGGTTCCCACCCCCCCCAAACCCCCCCCCCTTTCCCCCAAAAGCTTTCCCCCCCAAATTTCCCCCCCCCCCCCCAAATGCCCCCCCCCCCAATGTCCCCCCCCCCCCCAAGTCCCCCCCCAATGGGTCCCCCCAAAAAGTGTGGGTCCCCCCCTTCCCCCCCCCCCAAAGTCCCCCCCCCAAATTTTCCCCCCCCAAAGTCCCTTTTTTTTTTTTTTTTCGAAAGATAAGGGGGGGGACATTGGGGAAAAACAAAGTCCCCCACCACCCCCCCCCCCCCCCCCCCCCCCCCCCCCCCCCCCCCCCCCATTAAACTGAATTACATTATCCCTTATGAAAAAAGAGTTCTTCCAAATCAAAATTGTGGCTAATTGGAATAACCCGTAAAGGTCTTTAAACACCTTTTTAAAACCCAATCGCGGGTTCAAATTTGTGCCGTGGGGTGAATTCAAAAAGCGACCCCCCTGATTTAATTTTTTAAAGCCATGTAATAAGAATAATCCCCTCAAGTTAATCTTAAACGTGGGAAAAACAAAAGAATCGCATTGTACAATTTATAGCTATACAGTTAAACCCTATACAGTCAAAAGTATATCAAAAGAAAATTCAATTGTTTTCAGTCCCCCTTTTTTAGTGGTTTTTATTTTTAAGAATTAAGGTCAAAACAAATTTCATAATCCTATATTTTATATTTTGTGTTACACGCTACGTCCCAGTTAAAAATTTTTTTAATATTTTATATAATATGTGTTTCTTTATATTAACTTATTCCCCTAGAAAAATTTTGGCTTCTAGAAAAATAAACGCCGTGTAAAAAGAACCACAAGGGTTTACAGTTGACACCATAACAGTTAAGAGTCCCCCGCTGCCAAAAGCAAAACGTGTTAAAGCTGGTTTAAAACATACCCAATTGGTGCGGGAAAAATATTTTATATTTAGAAATGTTTCGTTACCACACGATCATCATCATCAAACCCTGACTTTAAACTTGGTTAGTAATTTAATGATTGGAACTAATTAGTGAATGTTAAACCCCCGTTTCCCCATATTTGTGTCCCAGTACTAAATATCCTCGTGTATTAAAAATTTTTTGAAACGCTTCCAACTTTTCCCCAGAACACCCTCCCACCTGGGGAAGAATTAACTTTTCAAAAAACGGAAACAAAAATAAATATAATTTTAAAAGTTTTTTAAAAATTAAAAACTTTTTAAAACGCCAAAACCAACCCCCTTTAATGGCCTTTACAGACCCCCAAATGACAGACGACCCCCTTTTAAAATTGAAAAACAAAGATAAATACTTTTCTGGATAACTGGTCGGGCAAAAAGTAAATTTTTTGGGGGGTTTTCTCCTTTTTTAGCCTTTTTAAAAAAAATTTTTTGGGTTACTAGGTTATGAGGAAACGTCTTGAGGCAGAAAAACTAATGGGTAAAAGGGGGAAAATTCCGGCACCTTTTTAAACCCCCCCCCCCTTGGGCCCTTTTTTTAAAAAAAACCCCCATCAAGTCCCCCCCTATAGATAACCAAAAAAATATAAAAATACTGTAAAAGGGTGAAAACCCGATACTTCAAAGCTTTTAAAAAAATGTTTTTTGGGGACAGAAGCTAATGGTATTGGGGGGTAAGCCCCCCCACCTTTGAGAACCCGCCTTGAAAGGTTTTTTTTTTAATTTCCCATCAAGTCCCCCAAAAGAAAAAAACAAATGAAAAAAATAATAACTGTATAGGGGGGGTTAAACCCCGATACTTCCCTATTGCTAAAAATGTTTTTTTTTGTACGTGAAAAATTTATACCCCCAAAGGGCCAGGGTTTTTCCGAACTTTTAAAAAACCCTGTAAAACTGGGGGGCAAAATGAAAAAAACAGAAACTGGTCAAAACAAAAAATATGAAATTTTTTTCAAAAAAAGGATCCCCCGAAAAAATTTTACTAAACAAAATTTTTAGAACAAGGTTTTGCTTGGTTGTTAAAAAAAATTTTTAAAAAAAAAAAAAAATTTTAAAAAAAAATAAAAAATTTTTCACGCCCTTAAAATTCCGTTTAGTCCCCCCAAATTTTTTTAAAAAAAGGCTATAAAAAAAAAGGGGGAAAAAGGAAATTTAAAAGTAAATACAAAACCCCAATTTTAAATTTAAAACTAAACTTAAAGGCGGGGGGGAGGGCGGCGGGTTGGGCGGGTTTTTTTTTTTCCTGAGAAAACCTGTCCCCTGTCTCCTCTGTCTCCATTTTTCTCCCCCTTTATCCCCCTGTTTTTTCCCCCCCATGGTTTTTTGGTTTTTTGGGGTCCCCCCTTTTTTCTTTTTTTTTTCCCCCCTGTCCCCCCCTTTTTTTCCCCCTTCCCCCCCAAAATTTC